TCCCAGGCCATGGATGACAGTGCAAAGGAGCAGAAGCTGGAGCTGGAGCTGAAATGATGGGATACTGGGGATGCTGGACGCTTGAGTTGAGCAGTCGGTTGCCAAATTGCGATTACTCAACAACAGAAGAGGCGGCATTGGTGGCTGCTGCTGACTGACCAGAAAGCGATTTGGCCATTGCCTACTTATTGGCCATTGATTTCTGAAAAATGGGCCAAGCAAGGAGGTGGCCAATTTGTGGGCCAATTTAATGCGTTATGATCTTTATGAGGGAAGCAGCGGCGGAGTCTCCTTAGAGGCTGCCTGCTGTCGATTACTTTTTGAGCCTCTCCACCGAACCGAAGCCGAATCATTTGCCATAACACTTTGCCAATGCCAGCTCAGCGCCACTCTCCGGCTTCCTTTCCCCTTTGGCTTTCCCTCTTGGTTGTAGTAGTTTTTGTTTCGTGTTCGAACATCTTTATGGGTAATTAAAACTTTTGCCCATTTTTGCCTGAAAGTTGGTTTTTGTTTTGCCCAATTCCAATTCGAATTCCCCTCCCTTTGCCGAACAAGGGTTTCCTGTGTTCTAGTCAAATTTATTGCCGTTCAATAATACCAATTTTTGGCCTTTCTTTTGGTGGAGATGCCAACAGATGTGTTGGCAAACTATTTCGAACCAGAATAGTTTTTGGAGCACGTTTGTGTTCACACTCGAGTGTTCCACATTATTGAAATTGAAGCGCGGTAATGTGTCTGCAATTTTTGGTCTTCCGGTCTTCCCGTTCCGCACAACTTTTCGGCATTCCGCATTTGGCAAATTATTTTCGCCAGCTCTGCGCCTTATCTCTCGGCAAGTTTTGGGTTATTTGTGGGGCCAAACTTTGGCTTCCACCAACTGCAATTTCTCCCCATCGATAAGAAGTGCAAATAATGAGAAGAAACAGAAATAGAAATGGAAAAGGTTAAGGAACTAAGGAACAACATTGTTTCATTTACATTACAAGTAATACTTTGGGCTTATTATATACGACCTTTGTTAATTTTGCATAAAAACCTAAATTATCAGCTTAACTTGAACGCTGAAAGGGATATCCTTCACATTTGAAAGTATAAATACCAAAAGTTTCAATCTTTTCAGCTCCAGAAGTTCACAGGCAAATCTCCTAACCCTTGGATGAACTCATTGTTGTACTGAGCAAGAGATTTCCTAGCCAACTCTTAACCCTACCCATTGAACGTTAGACCCGCTGGGAAGCAGCTTTCCTGCATTATCTCCAACTGGAGCACTCGGCCTATCGCAAATTTTCGAGTATTAGCGCTTCGTGGGGAAACTTCCGCTTGTTTGCCAAGCGGCTTAGAAGACGCACAAGAACACACTCGGCCTCATCACACACTTCCCCCATTCCAGTTGGCAAGACAAATTGCAGATTGGTAGACTCCCCCCCATGTCAAATCACTCGCCCAGGACCTTCTCCGCTGTCGGATTCCCCTTCGGGGCACGTGGAACAAAGAGAAAATCCATATTTTATTTTGATTATTTTCCGGCGCCTCGGCAGGTGTCGATTTCGTGTGATTTTTCTTTTGGGTGAAATTAAATTTAGCCCGGTACGAGGGACTCTTCTCCACTCACACCCAAATCAGCGTCAATCAATTTTGGTCGCTTTCGTCAGACAAAAACAAGCAGGCCTTCAGCCTCGGTCTCGGTCTCGGTCTTGGTCTTGGGTCCTCCTTTACACAGAAACCTCCGCCTTTTGTAATGGGAAAAATTATTGAATTTGTCAACGACTGCCGCAGGCTCTTGGTCCAAAAAATGTTGGGTGGTTGCGTAGGCTTAAAGCTCACCGGAACCCAGAATTAAAGATCTGCGAGATTTATGCGACTGTTGTAGGTGTCAGGCAAACAAAATTATGTTTGAAAACGATTTTCCACCTTTGCCGTCATACATCATCGGGGCTACTGCATACAACCCCCGCGACAATGGCAACAAGAGCTGTGGGAAACAACCCTCCAACGTTAACAAATTTCTTTGCGACGTTTTTAAATTTTTTGTTCCGTTTTCCTTTTTTTTTTTGTTTACTTCTGTGTTGTAGCTGGGCGAGAAGAGTGGCTAATGTAAATCGCATGTGTGTGTGTGTATGACCTACGCCTTATTTAGTGAGGCGCCCCCAAGCCCAAGCCAGAGCCAAGTGATTTGTTGACAAAGAAATTTTTTAATAATTCACCAAGCCGGTGGAGTCTGGGAGCGGAAATCTCATTCAGCATAAGTGATGATGTAATTTTCGCTAAAAATTGAAAAAATCTCCACGCAGGCGAGAGCGATTGGGGTCGGTGGAGTGCCGGTAACCCCTCACGTAAAATATGTTGCAACAATATGCTGCTGGATGGAGAGTATGTGTGTGTATGTGTGTGTGTGTGTGTGCCACTGACGATGATGAATGTGGCACGCATGCGTTGCACTGATTTCACTGACGGACTGGCTGACAATCCTGTCACGGCATCATATGGATAATAAGACCCTTCAAAGGTCCTCGCAGGCCACTTAATCATTAAGCAAAGAAGATGGAGTTCAAGTTTATGATGGAGAGAAGTGCCAGGATCACAAGGTGGCAACACATAAGGTTGGAAACTAAGTAAGAGAAAGTTAGTTACTATTTAAATATGTTGTACCCTAATAATTCAACTTTTTCCAGGTCCCATCTTCGGTTTATTTACTACAACTCAATAAAACCGACATTGTAGGCTAGTGAACCCTGCAATGGTCATCTTTTACAAGACCTGCAGTGTTCAGGTCCGAGGACCCCATGGCCAAGAAGCTCATTGATGACTCAATGCCCTCCTCAGGGGAGTATAAACTCTCCTTGGACTCAATTCCTTCTTCCCCATAAAATGATAGTCGGAAGCTTGACAACTTTTAATGCCGACTGTCGATGGTCATGTGCATAGCTCATTAGTTTTTGCCTAATTTGAAAGGCAGGCGCTCGGTTCGGCTTGACTTGGTTGCTCTCCCCTCCTCGGCCTAATGGAATTCAATCAATTTCCATTTATTTCGATAGCGAAAGTCGCACCACCAACGAGGAGCAAATGGAGGGGGTACTGGAGCGGGAGCTGAAAAATTTCTTAATTATCCTGACGTGACGCTTGTGGGCGGCTCGCTTGACAAGCTTTTTAGCTCCCGCCGCCATTTACTCCCTTGTCAATTTTGTGGGCAGTCTGTTTTCTTAATGTTTGTGGACAAAGCAAGACAAATGGGTCTTGATACTGAATTACTAGGGAAAAATGGTCGAGGGAAATGCTTTGAACAAGAGAAAAACGAAGCCTGGATTTATTTTCTTGCCCTAAAACTTTAAAATGTTGACTATAAATATATGCTCGACAATAATCCCCATTGAAAACAATATGCCACCAAATGTCAATACAACAATACATGAAGTAAATGTGAAAATCCTCGAAACATTTTCCGCCAGAGTAACCAAAACGGGGCAAATAAGTAAGGAAATGATAAAAAGCTTATTATAATTTGCTTATCATCGTCCTGCAGCCCTTTTTTCTACATTGACTCCTCTTTTCCCGCAGAGGAAGAGCAGGCGAAGGATTTCCAAAGAAAAATGAATTTAAAATGCTAAACAAAGGAAAGTGTAAATTTGATTTCCACAAAATAAAATAAGAGAAGAAACTAAATTCGGAAAGGCAAAGTTTATATACCCTAGCAGTTTGCAATTGAATTATAGGATCGTATCGGTAATCTATCATTGAATCGTTGTTTATCAATATGTTTATATGACAATTCTTACGACAAATCAAAGTTTAAAAAACTCCTAACTAAGCCAAAATGTAATGCTAATTTTTATTAGGTTAATAATTCTACATACATTAAAAAAAAAATAAAAATTTTTGATACATTTTTGAAAATTTGAACGATGTAACCCCTTATAAAATTTAAAAAAATATATATTTTTGCGGACTTTGCTAGATTAAATCGTCTGATTATTCTGATCTATAATATATATGATTTATAGGGTCGGAAATTACTCCTTCACATCGTTACAAGCTTCTGTTTAAAATTATAATACCCTCCAAAGGTATTAATATATATAGAGACGAAATTGAATTGTTCCTAGGTTTTAGTTGTTATTGTGGTTTTGCTTTATTCATAAACCAAATACATATGTTCAAACATACGTCTATATAAGTCCTCTTTTTTAAACTCTACTCTACAGATTTTTAATACCCTTAGGGTTCAACAGGCACACACGTTTATTGTAAAAATGTTTAGTTAAAAATCAGAGCTAAGGGAATTGATTTTTATAATAAATTAAGCAAGCTACAAATAAATAAAATACTTCCTGTCAGAGCTGTGCATTTTATGCCAACTGAAGATTATGCAAGACCCATTTATACTTGGGCTTTAAACTGCATACTGCCCTTGGCTCGGGTAGAGTCCTTGTAAGGCAAAGGGAAGTCAACGAAATCTGTGAGTTAAATCTGAAAGGGGGCGACATGGGGAAACAAGAGCAGTAGGAGCTCCCAGCCAAAGAAGGGGAATCCAACCAAGAAACCGAAAGAGATACCACAACCGAGATGCAGCGGCAACTGTGCGCCTCAATTATAATGAGAAAAGCAAACGAATTGGAAATAATTTTCAATTCACTTGTTTCCCACCTACTTTCGTTGGCCATCCAGGCCGCGATCTCCAAATGTTTATGCGCCCTTTGTTTCATTATTTATTTGACTCGCAAAGCTTTTGCCTGCATTCCACCGAAATCAGAACCAGAAAGCGACTGGGATGCACCTTTTTTTTGGCCAACTGGCAGCCCCTGGGTCAGCTGAGGGTGCCTCCAGATTGATAAAGCTGTTAATCCTTTTTCGAACCGAGGAGGGATCTCATGGGTCCGTAGGAGTATCTTGTTTGCAGACGATAAGCCAAGCTCCTGCGGCCATATAATGAATTATTTATGTAAGCCCAAAAACAGAGGCCCCAGAAATGCATAACCGAATGAATGTGTTAATGCAGAAAATAATTGGTGTGGACTTCCTAAAGGAAGCTGTGTCCATGTCTTTATTCGGTATTAACACAATATTCACACCTTGAATGGCAGATCTTTAAATGAAAGGAAAGGAAATTCAGTTGAATTAGGTGATAGAATATTCAATATTTAAAATGTGCTTGTATGCAAAGCTTATCAAGAGTGTGTAAACAACGTGCATTCAAACGTCTTCTTCCTCAAATGGATCAACATATCCGCAAGCAATTTGCTCGATCTCTGCGTCCGCTTGGTCACGTTTGGCGGCCTGCTGAGTCTCTCCATCCATGCGGCGCTGTTGGATCTTTGGATCCATCTGACGCTGCTGAGTGTCTGCCTTCATCCGGCTCTTCTGGATCTTTGGATCCATCGGGCGCTTCTGGATCTTTGGATCCATTGAGCGCTGCTGAATCTCTGTATCCATGCGGCGCTTCTGGATCTTTGTGTCCTTGCGACGCTGCTGGATCTTTGGATCCAACTGGCGCTGCTGACTCTCTGCCTCCATGCGGCTCTGCTGTATCTTTGGATCACTGCGACGCTGCTGAAACTCTGCATCCATGCGGCGCTGCTTTGGATCCATCTGGCGCTGCTGAGTCTCTGGATCCATCTGGCGCTTCTGGACCTTTGGCTCCATGTAACTCTTATCCGGCATCGGAAAAAGAAATGCATCTTCATTGCGCTTGGCGGTTTGCTGGACCTCTGGCTCTATCGGGCGATTGATGGACCCCGGATACAGATTTGACACTTGACCACGGTTGACGGCCTGCTGCATCTCTGCCTCCATGTGGCGCTGGTGGATCTTTGGATCCACGTGGCGCTGCTGGATCTCTGCATCGATGTTGCGCTGCTGAATATCAGGGTTTATCTGGCGCTGGTGGATCTTTGGATCACTGCGACGCTGCTGAAACTCTGCATCCATGCGGCGCTGCTTTGGATCCATCTGGCGCTGCTGAGTCTCTGGATCCATCTGGCGCTTCTGGACCTTTGGCTCCATGTAACTCTTATCCGGCATCGGAAAAAGAAATGCATCTTCATTGCGCTTGGCGGTTTGCTGGATCTCTGGCTCTATCGGGCGATTGATGGACCCCGGATACAGATTTGACACTTGACCACGGTTGACGGCCTGCTGCATCTCTGCCTCCATGTGGCGCTGGTGGATCTTTGGATCCACGTGGCGCTGCTGGATCTCTGCATCGATGTTGCGCTGCTGAATATCAGGGTTTATCTGGCGCTGGTGGATCTTTGGATCCATCGGGCGCTGCTGAATCTCTGGATTCATCTGCTGCTGCTGAGCCTCTGCCTCCATGTGACGCTGCTGAATCTCTGCATCCATCTGGCGCTGCTGAATCCTTGGCTCCATGTATCTCTGGTCCGAAATTGGGAATAGATATGCCTCCTTACTGCGCATGGCGGTTTGCTCGATTTCTGGCTCCATCGGGCGATTGATCAACCCGGGATAAACACTTGACACTTGACCACGGTGGACGGCCTGCTGGTTTCCTGCATCCATGTTGGGCTGCTGGATCCTTGGATTCATATGGCGCTCCTCAATCTCCGCCCCCATGTAGCGTTGCTGGATTTTAGAATCCATCTGGCGCTGCTGCAATTTTGGCTCCATGTAACGGTTGTCTGGCAGCGGAGATCGATATGCAGCTTCACTGCGCTTGGCGGTTTGCTGGATCTCTGGCTCTATCGGGCGATTGATGGACCCCGGATACAGATTTGACACTTGACCACGGTTGACGGCCTGCTGCATCTCTGCCTCCATGTGGCGCTGGTGGATCTTTGGATCCACGTGGCGCTGCTGGATCTCTGCATCGATGTTGCGCTGCTGAATATCAGGGTTTATCTGGCGCTGGTGGATCTTTGGATCCATCGGGCGCTGCTGAATCTCTGGATTCATCTGCTGCTGCTGAGCCTCTGCCTCCATGTGACGCTGCTGAATCTCTGCATCCATCTGGCGCTGCTGAATCCTTGGCTCCATGTATCTCTGGTCCGAAATTGGGAATAGATATGCCTCCTTACTGCGCATGGCGGTTTGCTCGATTTCTGGCTCCATCGGGCGATTGATCAACCCGGGATAAACACTTGACACTTGACCACGGTGGACTTCCTGCAGGTTTCCTGCATCCATGTTGGGCTGCTGGATCCTTGGATTCATATGGCGCTCCTCAATCTCCGCCCCCATGTAGCGTTGCTGGATTTTTGAATCCATCTGGCGCTGCTGCAATTTTGGCTCCATGTAACGGTTGTCTGGCAGCGGAGATCGATATGCAGCTTCACTGCGCTGACCGATTGGATCCATCGGGCGATTGATGGGATGGGGAAAGAGCGATGGGTCCCGATTGCTCTTGGAAGCCTTCTGGGCTTCTGGGTCTATATGGCGATTGGTGAGGACAGGGGACCCCTTGTTGGGATTGGAAGAGGTCCTCTCATGCCTAGTTTGTTTCGTTGAATACTTGACCGAAATGGACTGCACAGCGTCTTTAAAGAGATAATTGTCCAAGGCTTTCAGGGCCATCTCAGCAGCTAGGCGCTGATCGAAGCGCACAAATCCTGAACAGCGCGACCTCCCAGACTGCTTGCAACGTAAGACCTTCACCTCGGTGATGGTTCCATAGCATCCGAACAGCGTGGCCAGCTTGCTCTCATCCACATCGGGTGGCAGAAACGTCACAAACAAGTTAGTGTTAAGGGTGTCCTCGGTCCGGGGCTTGGCAAAGGTCACTTTAAGGGATTTGCCTCGGATCTCGTATCCATTGAACTTCGCCTGGGCGATCCTTGCGGCGCTTGCGCTTTCAAACTCCACGAATCCGTATCCGAGGCTTTTTTTTAAATGCTTTTCCCGGACAATCTTACGCTTTACGATTTTCCCTGCCTTGGAAAAAATATCGAACAACTCGTCTTCCGTCATATCAATAGGGAGATAATTAATAAGAAGGTTAGAAATGTCAACGTCGGGCACGGACTCCATCGCCTCATCGACCTTTTCCTCAGTTTGGGCTTCTGGAACCAACCAGGATGTGTTGGTGCTGTTGAAGACTTTCGGATACTGCATGGTGTTGGTGCACGATATCGCTTTTAAATTAAGTAAAATAATAAGAAAATAAATTTAAAATAGTGAAAAAAAGAACCGACTTACATGTTAGGAGAACGAGATAAGAAAGAATTTCCGAACAAAGCTTTTGCAAAGTCACGTTTCAGTGAATAATCGAATAGTCGAAATATCGAAAGTACTACGCTGAAGAACATATCACATATCAAATGAGATTACTTTTAGCTTTATCCAACACTTTTGTTTGTATTTGGAGGTTATGAAATGTTTCGGTTTCTATTTTTGTGGTATTTTAATATAAGAATGAAATTCTGTATCGAATAATTATGTTCATTTGTGTTATCACCAGTAAAAATTTAAGATTTTTTGCACAAACCTTGTGCTAAGTCACGTTTCAGTGAATAATCGAATAGTCGAAATATCGAAATTACAACGCTGAACAAAATATCGCATCATATACGGTTATTTTAGGCTTTATCCAACACTTTTGTTTGTATTCAGAGGTTATGAAATGTTTCATTTCCTTTTTTTGGGGTATTTTAATATAAATATAATATATAATCTTCGACAAATTATTTCAATGAATTTAATGTAAAGAAATCCACTTGGAACTCGGTCAGTTTCCCAATTTACAGTGCCATCGCTGATTTGGCTTTAAAGTTGGCGTGCCAAAACAAAATGAAACCCTTTTCGTGCCCATGGTAAAATGTTTTCCAGCTGTTTATTTATTTGTTTGCTGATTATGGAATTCCAGCACTGAAGGTGGGATAACTGCATTGGGGAATGTGTAAATTGGGCAGGTGCAAATTAAATTGGTAGCTGTCTTGGTCCAGGACCTATTGATTATACATACATACTTTTGGGTTGATACCCAATCGAATAGCCTTTGGAGGAGGCACGGGCAAAGTAAACTTGTTCATTATTTTTCTCTTTTTGTTTTATTTAGCTTCATATTAATTAATTTCCATTTCCGTTTTGTTATCTTGGCTACGCCGATTTTTACCTTCATGCTGACTAGACAATTAATCAAGTTTAATTACTCAAACGTTGCGGGGAGAAGGACGGCGGGACTTGGCGCACCCACCAGGTCCTTATCCGCCAGTCCGCCAGTCGAGGAGCGGACCCCTCAGGGACCAAGGCGGGCGGATTCGCATTCGCCCGATGTGGTGGGCATCTGCATTAATCACTGGAATATGCTTACATTTCTCAGCGCCATGTGTGAGGGATGGGGAGCGGACCAGAAGTGGGCAGGATTCAGATAAAACTCGCCATTAAAAGACGCCTCACGTAAACAATACATCTGGACGAGGTGGGATCGTTTACATATTTTCGCTGCGAATAATAATGGTTTCTCCTTGTTATATTTTTTGATGATTAAAAACGCGACTTAGTGCAGACGGGTGGCCTTTGGGATTAATGATTAAGAGATTGGAGGTTTCGTGTTAATATTTATTTTCCCTTATAATATTTAGGTTTTAAGATGCAATCGAAATCGCTGGCTGAATCGATTTATTTCTTTATTGAACTAAGCTGGAAAATTACTTAAAACTATAAATATATATAAATACAAACAAAATTAGATAAAAATAAGATCAAGAATATATATGATTTGTTGGTTCGGAATTGACTCCAAACAGCGTTACAGGCTTCTTACTAAAATTAATTACCCTGATATGGTATAAAAAAACAATTTTATCCGACTGTTATTATACATTATCTGGACACGTAATAACAACGCACTTAAAGATAAGCCAAATAATTGAATGGCGACACCTGGTGCTGAAACTGAACAAACTAGTTTTTACATTCTACGGAATGAAATACATGCATGTAAAGTACATGTAAAGTCGATGATTTTCGAAGTGTACGAAAATTTCATATATTTAGTTGTATAAGGGAAAAATTGAAATTTTCATGTAATAAAAAAAGTTTATTTTTCGTTTTTTATGAATGTATGCCTGTTTTACGGAGTCGGTTAACAATGAGCTTCGTGTCGAAGTTACTAATGGTACAAAATGTTAAACATATTTTGAAGAATCACACATTAAATACGCAAGTTCAGTTTGCTTACAAATCTAAGTTGTGCTAGGGGAAACACTTTCCAACTGATTGATTACTTTTTGAACATTCATTTCCTATTAGCTAAGCCTCAAGAATCTACAGAATGCTTCGATATTCGTCTTTGATTAGACCTCTTTCGCCTCAATAATCTCGAATTGGAGGTTGTATTGCTGATCAAAGCCGATCAGGCAGTCAGACATTAGATATAGCGTGAGCTGTAGGCGTCCACGTCTCGGTGTGGCCTGGAACGAGATGCGGTTGGAGGAACGCTGGCCCCGAATGGTGACCCGCTTCATGGCAAACAGCTCGTCGTTGGCCTGGGAGCCGAGGGTTAGAAACCATGCCTCGTTCTTGGGCTTTGGATACTTCGGACAGTGTACCGTGTAGCCCCTACCGCCAGCTCGTTTCTGGGCATTGAGTCGCTGCAGATCCACCACCAGGACATAGTCCTCGTTGGCATGCAATGGCATCCAGTGGCCCTTGGTGTCTCCGACAAGTGAGAGCGGTCGCTTAGTGTACTCCTCCTCCAAGTATCGGCCTTCCACTGATATTTGCACGGCTATCTCGGGCATGTCTTGAATCACCTACAAAGGGGATGGTTTAGTTAAATCAAAATAGATTCAAAGTCTCCAGCGCTTACCTTGTACATCTGCTCAATTTCCTGCTCCTCGAAGACTTCTCTCAGAGGCCTGGCCAACACCTCGTACTCCCTGCTGCATAGCTCTTTCAGCACGGGCAGCGTCAAGTAGTCGTGATCGTCGTGTGGTATGTCCAGGAACACATCGAGATTATCCTCGTTTACACCTGGCAGTGTGAGGAATTCGCTGGCGTCAAACCAGCGTGCCTGAATCACGCACTGCATCAGCTGCTGCACCACTAACGTGGTCGAGAGCCAGCCCCGTTCTGCTGTGTAGTCCACCATGGCTTGCATCACTCGCGTGGCATTGTCCAGGGCCGACTTGGTGTCCGTCAGATAATCCGAGTTCGGCAGCGACTGGCGGGAGAAATGAGCCTGGAGCAGTAGGAACGTCTTGGTGTAAGGTGAGTCCCAGGAGGCGGACAGAGGCCTGTAGCGACTTGTGTCGGCCATCTGCTCGTTGTATTTGTCTTCGTTGTGCCGAACTGGTTGCTGGTCGAATTCGTAGGAATCGGCGATGGCTAGGAGAACCTCCTTGGTGCCCATGCCAGGCTGCAGATCCTCCAGGAAGTGCTTCATTGTGCGATACGACAGGTAGTAGTAGGAGCTAATTCGGCCTAAGAAGGTTGGGACCAGGTGTCCGTCGCGCTCCACCAAGCAGGCAGCTCCAGAGAGTTCGTAGACAACGCGGTCCACCAGATTGGACATGAATGTATTCACATTTTCTGGCTCCACGCCCTGCAGTTGGTAGTATGAGGGATTCCGAAGCAGACGCCTGAAGAAATATGTCCATGTGAGGTAGTCAAGGGCTGCTTGCTTAGTTTGAACCGTTCCAGCCACGATCTCGGCGTTGATGTGCTCCGGCAGAACACCCAAGAGGCTGGACTCCACTGGGAACGGGTCGTACAGGAACTTCTTGTAGAAGTTCTTCTTCTCATCGTGCACCAGAACGACGGCTACTCCCTCGTTGTCGAACTGCGGCCGTCCAGCACGTCCCATCATCTGCAGCACGTCTGTGATAGGCATGTCGACGTACTTCTTCACCTTGCCATCAAAGTACTCGGTTCCCTTGATCACCACCAAATGGGCGGGCAGATTGACGCCCCAAGCCAGGGTGGCGGTGGCCACCAGCACCTGAATCTTCCGATTGAGGAACAGCTCCTCCACGCACTTGCGATCTTGCTCCTGCAAACCGGCATGATGCAGTCCAATGCCAAAGGCCAGACAAAACTTCAGGTTCTGGTCACGAATGCTCTGCAGGATTTGCTCCATCTCGTGCTCGGCGATGTGCAAAAATTGCTTGGGATTAGAGTCACCGGCCACGAAGGTGATAAGGTCCAAGGCAGTGAGTCGGGTCTGACGACGCGATGAGACGAACACGATGGTTGGCTCGCACGGGGAGTAGGCACGGATTGCCTGGAAGGTTGGTCGGTTCATAGTGGCCATACGCGGACAGTAGTGCTTGCCCGGGAACCCGTTAATATGCACCTGCAGCGGTACCGGGCGCACCGAAGGCTTGAAGTTGTACAGACCCATCTTGGTGATGCCCAGCCAGTTCGCCAGATCCTGGGCATTGGCCAGGGCAGTGGACAGTCCCACAATGCGGATGGCTCGGCCCGTGTGCGAGCGAATGAAGTTTGTTCGGGAGACAATCACTTCGATGACCGGGCCTCGATCCTCGCCCAGCAGGTGAATCTCGTCGATGACTATGAGGGAGACATGTTGCACGTACTCACGAGTTTGCCAGGAACGACTTATGCCATCCCACTTCTCCGGCGTGGTCACGATTAACTGGGACTCCCGTATGGCCTGGATATCGGGAGTGACGTCGCCCGTCAACTCAACCACCTTTAGTCCCAAGGAGGAGCGCTGGAAACGCTGCTCCCAGTCTGATATCCGTTCCTTTACGAGCGCCTTGAGCGGCGCTATGTACACCACCTTGCACTTGGGGTTCTCGTTCAGGGCCCTGAAAATGGCCATTTCGGCCACGATGGTCTTACCACTGCCAGTGGGCGCTCCCAATAGTACATTGTTGTCCGTGTGGTAGAGGCAGTGGAATATCTGCGTCTGGATGGGGTTGAAGTGGGTGAAGCTGTACATGGACTCATAGAGGGCGTTCTTCAGGCAGCTGATCGGCAACGGGCGCAAGGGTAGCAGCTCCGTCAGTGGCGGATGGTGCTCCGGCAGCACCAGATGTTGGAAAGATAATGGAATGCAGGTGGTGCTGCCCAGCCAACTGTCGCTGCTCACACGGATGTAATACTGCGGCGGCAGTGGCTCCTTCAGGGGAATGGTCATTACCAGCTGTTGCGATTGGCCACTGAACACCGTTTTGCGGGTCACTTGGAACAGCTCCGAATGGTATATGTAGTTGGACTCTGGATCCTCGATCCACAGCCAGAAGCTTTGACACGTCTTGCCGTGCACACGGTCGTTCC